CTCGTTCACTTTTTCGTGGCATTGTTCACTCGTAGATCTAATATATATATACGTATTATACAAGTTCTGGCTATTTTATTGATAATTGATAAAATAAAAGAAGAAAAAATAATGTTTCCGATGTATGTATTTACAAATAAACTAAAAATTTACAAATAAAATGATCTTAGATCCTCCTTACCCCTCGTTTAGTAACAATGAACCCAGAACTAGCGTAGATTTATCATATTCCGCGACATTTGCAACAACTTAACTTTTCACCTGGAACTTTTAATTTTATAAATAGGAAACAAATTATAATTTTAACAGAAAGTAGAGGGCGTTGGTTATTCGTAAAATTTCTATAAGAAGGATTCAAGACAAAATAAATGCTTCAATAAAAAGTACACAAACAAGTAAAGTGATACTAGTTGGATGGATTGTAAAACGATTTTCAATCCCTATTTTGGTTGACGGATCACAATGTTTTGAATCCTTCTTATAGACATTTTACGAATAACTAACGATCCCTACTTTCTGTTAAAATTTTTATTTTTTCTCCCTATTTACTTGTTCAGTTTTATATGTCCATAGAATGGACACAAAATTTATAAACTTTCAGTATAGCCATATCCCTGATAGCTGTAACTTTTACAAAAATTAAAACCACAATCACAAATGTATAAAATGTAATCCTTACTTTGGCCTACAGATATGTGTATAAAGCTGCCAAAGTAGGGATTAAATTTTCTAAATTTATGATTGTGATTTTAATCCTTCTTTCATTACTTTTTGTAGCAGGATCCCTACTTCATTTTCAAATTCATAATTTTCTAATACTTTTTTTGTTTACTTTTTATGTTGTACCTGTATAAAGTATATACTTTACCTTTAGAAGCTGTTATGTGTCTATCCGTCAATATGTAGCGACATCCGTTAGGTTGAAAAAATATTTAAGTACGTGCATGATATGTTTGCCATTTATATTGTACCTATTTATATACATGGATGTTTATCGTAATATCAAGAAATGGATACCCACAGACCAATCAAGTAGGTAGGAGTAGTTTTGTAGCTATAGCCTTAGCCGTCTAGGAGTTAGCCCCGCTGAGGTGATCAGGTAGGAAGGTAGTAGACGAAAAAGTTGCTGTTTTAGAAACTTTTGAATTGTTATACCAGAAATATTAGCAACCTTTTTAGCGTGTTATTAGTATATATACGCATACTATGTCGTAACCAATTCTTTGAATGGTCAGTTTTTCGCTTAGTAATTCGATAGGGTGGATTTTGAGGATTAATTATTTTGAATCCTTGTCGATCCCTACTATTAAGTACTACCGTACTCAAAATAATGAATCATACTCAAAACATCAGTAAGATTCACCTGTGAATACAAATAAGAAGACACTGGAATATCAGACTTTTTCCTTCTTTTATTGCCCCTAGTGGCACAGCGGTATGCCTGCGGACTTACAACGCTAGAAACCGGGTTTCGATACTCGTGGTGGGCAGAGCACAGATAGCCCTTTGTGTAGCTTTGTGCTTAACTACAAACAAACCTTCTTTTATTAATTTTTTCTACGATTTCGTGACTTCAAAGGTCACTCTTCGGGAAATACTTTTACTGAGATTTTTTTCTTTTCTGTAAGTCTTAGTAACTGTTTTCACGGTTTCATAATTCCTACTGTCTTTACGCAACCAATTACTTCTGCCCTGATATTCCAGTGTTTTCTGAACTTTACCGCCCTCTGTAGTCAAAATGTGAAGATTATAGAATAAAAAATTTTAATTGGCTCTTCACAAAATACAACGGGTCTCGAAGATTTTTTTAAATTCTAGTTTAGGCAAGTTAATTAATGATCGGTTTCTTAAGGTCCCATCTTCTCCCAATCTTTTGTTTTACTTTATATAATCCTCTTATAGGAATCCTTTCCCCTCAAAGTATTACACACATTTATTGTAAAATGTTATTCGAAAAACAAGTGTACATTCCAAATAAGAAATAAAATGCATAAAATGTCCAGATGAAATTTTAAAAACAATAAAAAAATAAAATAAAATATTATTCAATTGGTTTTAGTCAATCGAACACTACGTTTCCGTTCAATAATAACGTTGGTAAAGCATATTAGAACTTAGAATAGAACATTTATCATGATAAAACTAAATGTTAGTTTACTCATTTAAACATAGTGTTACTCATAATGCTTATATTTAATTGTTCTCACGCTCAACCAGATTATTGGTGATCAGTAACGAGGTGGTTGCAGTGCGAAATGGGAAATAAACGTTTCATTCTCCAAAATCTTATGTTCGATAACACTTTGCGTTTTTATGGCTATTATCTCGTTTACCTTCACTTTTTTTCTATTTCTTTGCCGCTTTTTTTATTTTATTTTGCTGGATATGACGACTGTAGGCGCTACCAAGAAAACGTCAGCACCAACGTCATTCACAGGAAGAAGACAGACACATCAGATGAAAGATAACAAAAAACTGGACCGGTGTCCAAGAATAATTTTGATTGGCTGGCGTCATGCGGCACCCTACGAATACGTTTGTTGAAAACAACTGATATATACTAACAAATAAAACACAGCATTTTACTTACCTAGAGGATCAGACATCCCAAAGCTCCTGAAGAATTAATCAATCTTACTCCATCAAGATGGAAATTGGCGCAGCAGTTATGATCGTTTTATTAATAGTCTTGACGATCCAGATGTTCCAATGTAGACCAACACAGGTGAGAAGCTTAGAGTAGGAAGGCTTTATTTTACTTTTTTGGGCTCTATGAATATGGAGAATTTACTGCTCTAAAAAATTGAATAGAATATTTGTAACATTCTACTTTAACTCAAGTTGGTAAATGAAGATGGCGTTGTTTAGCAAGTGATTTTTCCAGTAATGAATTAGTTTATAAAGATTGTTTTGCATTGTTAGTTTAATATGTATTTAGGATTAACCTAAATCTCATAAGCTGGCCGAACCTCGTGAGATATTATTGGGATTACGGACGAAAATGTCGTCCTAGCTGATAAAATAATGCACCCTAATCTTCATGAGTAGAAACGTGATAAACGTATATTTTGTTAGCTTTACTGAATGCCAGGCTGATTTTTAGTTTCGCTCTAATTTAATTATTAATTTCATTATTCAAGAAGTTTGATATTAATATTCATAGATATAGTGGACCTGTCTAGATCAAAAGATTTGCAAATGTTGTTTTTCCGAATCTATGCTACTTTCTTCTGACATGAACCCTTGAACCATAAACAATTCATTCAGTTAGTATTGTTTGTTTGTTAGTAGTTGAGCACAAAGCTACATAAGGGGATTGTAAGTCCGCAGACATACCGCTGTGCCACTGGGGGGCTCCAGTTTGTAAAATAAAATAAATAAATAAGACAAAAATATATGTAAAACAAAATTATCTGGGATAACAAGTATCTTCAGAACTCAAACAGATAAATCGTTAAAGCATTTAACACCAGTCATCATTCTTTTGGGATGTTTTTATATATTAAATTTTTACACTTGTATAAAAAAATATCAATAACTTTCGTGAATAAATATTGATTATTTGGTGAATGTTTTATTAAGGGGGTAGTAACTGATACTTTCTGTTTTGTTAAGGGGTAGTGACTGATACTTTCTGTACTTTCTGTTTTGTTAAGGGGTAGTAACTGATACTTTCTGTACTTTATATTTTGTTAAGGGGTAGTAACTGATACTTTCGGTACTTTATGTTTTGTTAAGGGGTAGTGACTGATACTTTCTGTACTTTCTGTTTTGTTAAGGGGTAGTAACTGATACTTTCTGTACTTTATATTTTGTTAAGGGGTAGTAACTGATACTTTCTGTACTTTATGTTTTGTTCAGGGGTATTAACTGATACTTTCTGTACTTTATGTTTTGTTAAGGGGTAGTAACTGATACTTTCTGTACTTTATGTTTTGTTAAGGGGTAGTAACTGATACTTTCTGTACTTT